CAGGCTGCGCGGCTCACCTCCCGCAGCCGCCACGCACACGCTCACGGGGATCTGACACCATCGCAGCTGACACACTGCACCTGCCTCCCTCCCCCATCAGCCCTCACCCCGTACTCGGGCAGCCATGTCTAGAGAGAGGGGGGACAGTGTGGGCAGAGCTAGGAGGCCGCACCATGCAAGGGGAGGTCCCGTCACTTCCAGCGCAGATCATGTCATCTGTGACCAGGTCGCCCCAGATCTCCTTACAGACTGGAGTGGACACGAGGGGCAGCACTGCCTGCTGCAGCGTGGGTGCTCTTTGATGGTCTGGAAGGGCAGCGGAGGGCGAGGTCAGTGCCACGGCGCTGCCCAGCCTGGCAGCTCCCACCTCCACCAGCCCCCGGACAAGCTGCTCACCGTCGTATTGGGTCTGGCCCCAGCCTGTGATGACGCACGGTGTCCCTGGCGGGAAGTCAGCCTCGTTACAGGCCAGACACACGGCGGACACAGTGTCAGTGAAGCGGGCCGGGGTGGCCAGCTTCAGCAGCGCGATGTCGTAAGTACCACTAATGAAATAATTCTCATTCGGGAACACCTTTGGAGGAGAACAGAGTCCCAAGTGAGGCCCAAGGAGGAGCCCAGGCTCTCTGATATTCTGGGGGCCAACTCCTTCCCTGGGGGTCCGTCCAGCAGGCCCGGCTACCTCTGCAATGTCCAAGACCTGGACGCCCTCCTCATCAGGATCCAGGTTAAACGCCCCCGCCACCACCTTGTCATCTGTCCTACACATGGAGACAGGTAGGGGTGAGATGGGGGGGTTGCTGATCCCCTCCTTTGCCCTCTAGAGCCCACAGGACTCACGTGACCCCACAGTGGGCAGCAGTGACCACCCATTCCTCGCTGATCAGGGCGCCACCGCAGAAGTGGAAGCCTTCATACTGGGGAAGAAGAAGGGGATGATCACAATTCCACAGGACAGCACCCCATGCTGACTGCCACCCACACTGCCCCCATGCCCACAATCCCTCTCTCACCTGCAAGGACACCTGCCAGGGCCAGGAGCCAGGGACAGCGTCCTCCCCATTGACCACCCTGGACAGCCCACTGACCTCAGGAGGGATGGCGGGGATCCCGCAGCCTGGGGACACAAGGAGGTGACAGCCAAAGTGGACCAATCAGGTCTCTCCCCCTCCCACCTCCAGTCTCCTCTCACCCTTGGGGGACCCCGGCTGGCTCCTCCCTTCCCTTCGCCCTGCCCCCTCTCCCCTGCCCCCCACAAACCTGGTATCCCACATTTGCAGCTCAGTGTGAGGCGAGCAGTATCCTGGTCAGAGAACTCAGATTCTTGCGCCCCGCTCTGCTTCCCTTCCAGACAAATACACACACACACACAGACATGCAGTGCGTGAGGCGGTCAGCAGGACCCATGGCTGCCTAGTTCAGCCACGCAGCTCAGTCTAAGAGAACTAAGAGAGCTGTAAAAGGACAAGCTTCTAGTGCTCACATCTGTGATCCTAGATACTCAACAGACTGATCTGACGATCATGGTTCAAAGCCAGCCTCAGGAGACAGTACTCGAGACTCTACTCTCCAATTAACCACCAAAAAGCCCAAAGTGGAGCTGTGGTAGAGTGCTGGCCTTTAGTAAAAACAGCTCAGAGCCAGGGGCTGGGAAGGTGGCTCAGTGGTAGAGTGTTCACCTCCCATGCATGAGGCCCTGGGTTCGATTCCTCAGCACCACATAAACAGAAAAAGCTGGAAGTGGCGCTGTGGCTCAAGTGGTAGAGCACTTGCCTTGAGCTGAAGAGCTGAGGGACAGCGCCCAGCCCAGAGTTCAAGCCCCACGGCTGACCAAAAAAACAAAAAACTCAGAGACAGAGACTAAGCCCTGAAGGATGAACATAAAAAAGGAGAAAACAAAGCAAAACCCTCAGGCTTGGGCAGGCAGGGTTGAGGGGGCCGAGCCGCCACTGCCCCTTCAGTCTGTCCCTGTGCCCCGCACGGCCGCATCGCCGCCTCCTCCACAGAGACACAGACCGGCTGCGCAGCGATGCAGAGGGTCCAGCTGCCAGGGTCTCAGGGGGTCTGGGGAGCAG